GCACTGATGGGCACTGATACGCAGCACTGATGGGCACTGATAGGCAGCACTGATGTGCACTGATAGGCAGCACTGAAGGGCACTGATAGGCAGTACTGATAGGCAGCACTAATGAGGTGTCAGAGATAGGCAGCACTGATAGGTGGCACTGATAGGTGGCAATGATAGGCGGCACGGATGATGGGTACTGATAGACAGCACGGATAGGTGGCACTGACTGGCATTACTGCTGGGCACTGACTGGCGGCACTGCTAGGCATTGACTGGCGCAACTGCTGGGCACTAACTGGCAAAACCACTGGGCATTGACTGGTTGCACTGACTGGCAGCACTGCATTGATGGGCACTGGTGGGCACAGGTGGGTGGGCACAGGTGGGTGGCACTGCTGGGCACAGTTAGGTGGCACTTCTGGGCACAGGTAGGTGACACTGCTGGGTGCCCTGATGATTGGTGCCAATCCTTTCTCTGACAACTGCTGGTTCTCGGCAGTACTTACCTCATGCTCTTACAGCGTGAGGAAAGTGCAGTCGAGAACCGACAATTGCATTTCCCGGTGATCAGCCTAATCACGTGGTAAAAGGCTGCTGTGACTGGCCTTTTAACACATCACGTGATCAGCTGTGTCCGTAGGACACAGGGATCACGGAGATCACCGGGGGCGCGCAGGAGAGCGTGTTCTGGGAGGACATCATATGATGCCCTCCCAGAACTGGCCAGCTGCAGTGTAGCCATCATTCAGCTATCTGCGGTTGGCAAGTAGTTAAAGAGGAGCTGCAGGCTCCACCGTAAAAATTAAAAGTCAGCAGCTATAAATACTGTAGCTGCTGACTTTTAATATAAGCACACTTACCTGTCCAGGGGTCCAACGCCATCATCACCCCGGCTAGTTCTCTAGCCTCCAGATTCCCGGCACTGGCATTGCAAAAAAGCGAAACCTGAAGTGAAGCCTTGCGTCTTCACAACCGGTTTCCTACTGTGCATGTGCGAGTCGCTCTGTGCCCTGTGAGTGATCCCATAGTCTTTTGCAGGGGGAAGGATGAGGACCGAACTTCCGTCTCAGTCTGCTGTGGCGAACTGAGCCTGAAGTAGAAGCAGGTACCTGTCCAAACGAGGTACCCCATCGCTCCCCCCCCCAAAAAAAAGTACCAAATGTGGCAGTAGAGTAGGGAAAGGTGCAAACAAGCGGAGCTTACCCTTTTGGGTTTTTAAACTAAATTAATTTAAATTAAATTCTTTAAATTCATTTCACTCAGTACCCTATAATGACAAAGTGAAAATGAATTTTAGAAATGTGTGTGACAAGCTTTGCCCAACCGAATTTAGGGATTTTTCGGCCATTCTTCTTTGCAAATTCTCTCAAGGTCAGTCAGGCAGGATGGGGACCATTGGTGAACAGCTGGGCCACTCTTGAACATTCACAAAGTTGTCCCTAAGCCACTCCTGTGATGTCTTGGCTGTGTGTCATGTTGGAAGGTGAACCTTTGGCCCAGTCTGAGGTTCTGAGCACTGTGGAACAGGTTTTCCTTGAGGATATCTCTGTACTTTGCTCCATTCAGCTTTCCCTCAACCCTGACCAGTCTCCCAGTCCCTGCTGCTGAAAAAACACACCCACAACATGATGCTGCGAAGATCATTCTTCACTGTTGGGATGGTATTGGGCAGGTGATGAGCGGTACCTGGTTTATTCCAGACATAATGTTTAGATTTCAGGCCAAAGAGTTCAATGTTGGTTTCATCAGACCAGAGAACCTTGTTTATTACAGTCTGAGAGTCCTTAAGGTGCATTTTTGCTAACTCCAAGCGGGCTTTTATATGTTTTGCATTGAGGAGAGGCTTCCATCTAGCCACTCGTCATAAATCCAAGATCGGTGGAGGGCTTCAGTGATGTTTGTCCTTCTGGAATTTTGTCCCATGTCCACGCAGAATCTCACTAGCTCAGTCAGAGTGACCATCGGGTTCTTGGTCACCTTTCTTACTAAGGCTGTTGTCCCACAATTGTTCAGTTTGGCCGGTTGTGTCAAACTTCTTCTATTTGAGAATTATGGAGGCCACTGTGCTCTTGATAACCTTCAGTGCAGCCAAAATTTTTAGTAGCCTTCAACAGATTTGTGCCTTGCAATAATCCTGACTCTGAACTCTGCAGGCAGTTCCTCATGGCTTTTGCTCTGACACAGTATGCATTGTCAGCTATAAGGTCTTTTATAGAGGGATGTGTGCAATTTAAACTAAAGTTCTCCAGGGGTTGATTACACCCAAAACCTCTTTCAGATTGTTCTTGTCAGTCCAGGAAAACAACATACATGTTAAATGAAGGCTAACACAGGGTAGCTAGGTTTCTGACAGGGACCTTATTACTACTACTGTCAAAGATATATCTTCCTAAACAAGGCATCTCCTACACTTACTGTTCAGAGGAACCTTTCCTCCTGGACAGTGCACCTATCATGCACTTACAGTCCAGGGTACCCAAAATGCCTCAGTGGACAACTGCCTGACAAACAGCATTAACCCCACAGTTACCCCCCCCCCCTTCGGCCCTGAGAAGACATGGAAATCACAATGCAGAACTTCCAATAGAAGAAGTGTATGTGTTATCTGTATATATTTAGAATTGTGTTGAACTCATTGCCTTGACAGCATGGAGTTAGGTCAGACAAATGTTGAGGTGATGTTTTCCCACCTGGGGTGCCAAATGAAGAATAAAATGATGGATCAGACCAGGCAGGAATTCTAATGAGGCAGGTTTATTGTCAACACCTGTAGTTGGGAATACGCAATCAAGCAAGTTAAAAAATAGAGGGTTGCAAGCTGAGTCTCAATATGATGGGTTGTCAAGGGTTGCTAACTAACCATTAATTTAATATCTTATATTTGGATAGTAGCATGTCTACAACTTTGACTGGATATGTGAACTCTTTTTGACCTCAATGGATTTATTCGCCAGCACACCATAGATCAACCCATATCATCCAAAAGCTTTGCTGAAGAATTATCACATCACAAAGGACAAATTGGAATGTTTCAGGGCCATGCAGGGCCCCTTTGTCAGGGATTTGATCACATGCTCCGAAACATTGCACTTTGTCCTTTGTGATGTGATAATTCTTCAATAAACCTTTTAAGACGATACTGGATGACCAATGGTGTGCTGGCAAATATATGCATTGATCTGTGATGTCTCCAGTCTCCAGCTGGCAATTGCTGCAGTACCCACTACTTCTGAGCATATTCCGGGAACATGTGCGATGGGAATATTAGCCATCTCTTTTTGACCTCAATCATCTGCAAGCATACATGCTTTCAAGTTCATCTACTGTATAATTCTGTGTTAGTGAGATGTTCTAAAATCTCCTAAAATTATGTGACTTTTATATTATATAACTTTAATAATGTACTCTATGTGCTATTTAATATCATTAATATTAAACATGTGGACTAAATATAAAATTTGACTGCATTATAGGTTACATAATCCTCACAATTCTTCATGCTAGGAGTGCAACAGTCAGAGGTGTGCAAAGTACACTACAGTATCAGAGTTCAGCAGTCAGGAGCATAACGTGTGTGGCACAGCTTGCAGAGTGCAGCGGCCAGGAGTATTTAACATATATCCTAGTGTAAGGATATCAGGAGTAAGGATTCTATCATGTGTAGTTCAAATACAGGGGTACTCAGGAGTATGCAACATACTCCTGCAACATATAGATTGCAGGAGGTAAAATTATGTAACATATAGGAGGAGCTTTACTAAAACAGGCGCACACAGAAACTGGCACAGTTGTGCATAGTAACCAGTTAGTTTCCAGGTTTTATTGTCAAAGCTTAATTGAACAGTCTGAAGTCTGAAGCTGATTGGTTACTATGCATAGCTGCACCAGATTCTGCACCAGGCCCTATGCGCAAACGCCCCCTACCCAGAAGAGCCGGATCACGTATCAGATATGTGCTTTGGCGGAAGAGAGCCACTCTGCCTCCATACTCTTACGTGAGGTGGGCAGCAAGCGTTTAAAGTAGACTCAGACTAAGTGTTAGCTCTATATCTATATTCTATATAAATTGTGTTGATGTTTACATGTCTGTGAGACGTCATTGTGGCTCAATATTAAAGCATATTTTGTAAGTATAAGGATTTGACATTTGTGTGCTGTGCTTACAGTGCGTAGGTTCAGGTTTTAGTTAAGAAAGTTATTTCCACTGTCAGCACACTAAGGCTATATATGCTAGACACCATGGCACACTACTCTACTTCCTCTCTGCAAAGTGTTCAGCGGGTGGCCCAGGATCCTGCAGGCTACACAGTTGGGCACCCGGGGATTAGTTAAAGTTATAAAAAATACATTGATCCAATGATTTATCAAACTGCCATTGGGGCCTGGAAGTATGTTTTTCCTGCAAAAATAAATAAAATTGCAAATGATATGTTTTTTTTATTGCACGCTTTATATACATCTGCCACAATAATGCTGCAAACAATTGCTTGTTTGTACATAGAAAGAAGAGTTGTTAGGTAAGACAAGCAAATTTCTGTTCTAGGCTCTGTATTACTAAAAGGAAAAGTATAACAAAAGAAACTAGGCCCCAGTGGACTACATTATGATCCTATTCCCAGCTTCTACAGTACATTCACCTTACCAATGCACCAATGCAATTACTCATCTTAACCAGTCTTTCTTTCAAATACAAGATACCAAGATAAAAGTTTCTGTAAGTATATATAGTAAAAGAAGTTCAGGCTTCAGTAAAAAAAAATAACATAAATGTTATATATATATACAGTGCTCAGCATAAATGAGTACACCCCTTTTGAAAAGTAAGATTTTAATCAATATCTCAATGCACACAAGAACAATTTCCAAAATTTTTACAAAACTGAGTTTTATAGAACATTTGTTTAGCTCATTACATGAACGTAAGGTTATTAAACTAACTTAGATTACAAAATCATCAGTTTTACTCAAATTAGTTGATGCAAAAATGAATACACCCCACAACAAAAACTACTACATCTATGATTTGTAGGGACAGCACCAAGTCTTCTAGGCATGGAATGAACAAGTTGGCGACATATTACAACATCTATCTTTTTCCATTCTTCAAGAACAACCTCTTTTAGAGTCTGGATGCTGGATGGAGAGTGATGCTTAACCTGTCTCCTCAGAACTCCCCATAGGTGTTCGATTGGGCTCAGATCAGGAGACATACGTGGCCACTGAATCACTTTCACCCTGTTCTTCTTCTGAAATGCAACAGTGGCCTTGGATTATTGTCATACTGGAAAAGTGCATGAGGACCAAGGGCATGGAGTGATAGTAGCATCTTCTCTTTCAATATAGAGCAGTACCGTGAATTCATGATACCATCAATGAAATGCAACTCCCGACACCAGCAGCACTCATGCAGACCCACAAAAGGACACTGCCACCACCATGTTTCAATGTAGGCATCATGCATTTTTCTTTGTACTCCTCACCTTTGTGACACCATACAATTTTGAAGCCATACGTTCCAAAAACATTTATCTTCGTCTCATGACTCCAGAGTACAGAGTCCCAGTAGTCTTCTTCTTTTTTAGCATTTGGCTCTGGCAAATTCTATGAGGGCTTTTTTGTGCATGGGCTTTAGCAGAGACGTCCTGTGTGAATGACACCCATGCATGCCATTCCTCTGCAGTGTACGCCATATTGTGTCATGGGAAACAATAACCCCAGTTTTGCTTTCTACATCTTTAGCTAACTGCAGTGAATTTACATGGCAATTTTCTTCAACCCTTCTTATTAGAAGACGCTTCTGTCAAGGTGTTAACTTCCATGGACAGCCTGGACGTCTCTGTGAGATGGTTGCAGTTCCATCTTTGATAAATTTTTGTATTACTTTTGCTACAGTATTCTGACTGATAAGTAAAGCTTTGCTGATCTTCTTGTAGCCTTTACCTTTCTTTTGTAGTGAAATTATTTTCTTTCTCAGGCGTTGTGACATTTCTGTTCCATGTGGTGCCATTGCTGACTGCATGAAATGAGAAGGGGTTTTCTTTGCAAGTTAACGCCCTTTTATACTCAACTGTCTGCTGGAAACCTGTTTAATGAATAAATAGACTCACCTGTAATTAAGTTCATGTTATTAGAATTTTGTTGTCTAAAATTTAGCGTTGCTTCTAAGACTTTCATTGGGGTGTGTACATTTTTTCAACATGGTCTTGAATGAATTTGTTAGGAAAAATACTTTTTTGTGTGTGCAAATTAACAAATCTTGTTTGCAATCAATGGCCTTAATTTGTTGGAGTAATTTGCATTATAGTGTCCCATAGAAAATGTTGAAAAGCAAAGGTTTTTTTACATATCTATTGAGGTGTACTTATTTATGCAGCACTATATATATATATACACACACACACACACACACACACACACACTCTAATGCAAAAAGTATTAGGACACTATAGAACCGGACATTTTTTCTTTTACATGTCACCAATATGCCATCCAAAACTTATAAGTAGTCAGTTGTATGCCACCTATTGAATGCAGCTAAATTGTGTACCTCTTTATGTTGGCAAAAGACAAAACCTCCATCGATTGGGCTTTGGCTACGCAAAGAGGAGGAAATGAACCACATGGAAGACCTGGTGCTTACACATCGACACAAACAAGAAGTATATTCTAAAACTCAGACTCTATGGAACTTGTTTATCGGATGAAGGGAAGTCTCTCCTTGAATCGGGAGAGGAGTGACCATCTTCTACCTGGCATTTAGTGGTTTCCCCATTTCCTTTCTCCCCTTTTTTTTCTCCTCTCCATTCCTCTACCTTTACTTTTCCTAACTGTACTGCTCTTTCTTTTCTTGACTCTCTATTTTTAACCTTTATATATCTTATATATATATATATATATATATATATATATTGGGCTAACAGTGAGGTGGATTTTCTATGAGTACTGGTTTACGCTTTTGGACCCGAAGCATGTTTTTCTGTACTCTCTTGAATATAGTACAACATTAAAAAATTACCTGTTGATGATGTTGTTTTGATATTTTTATACTGATTGTACTTATACATTTGGGCTACTTGTCATCTACTGTTCAGTTGTTATAAATAAAGAATTTGAAAAAAAAAAAAAGTATTGGGACGCCTGCCTTTACACACACATGAACTTTAATGGCATCCCAGTCTTAGTCCATAGGGTTCAATATTGAGTTGGCCCACCCTTTGGAGCTATAACAGCTTCAGCTCTTCTGAGAAGGCTGTCCACAAGGTTTAGAAGTGTGTCTATGGGAAGGTTTTACCATTCTTCCAGATGGCCTGGCTTGCAGTCTCTACTACTCTAATTCATCCCAAAGGTGTTCTATCAGGTTGAGGTCAAGACTCTGTGCAGGCCAGTCAAGTTCCTCCACCCCAAACTGAGCGCATCCATGTCTTTCTGGATCTTGCTTTCTGCACTGGTGCACAGTCATGTTGGAACAGGAAGGAGCCATCCCCAAACTGTTCCCAAAAAGTTATTAAATTGTCCAAAATGTCTAGTTATGCTGACACCTTAAGAGTTCACTTCACTGGAACTAAGGGGCCAAGCCCAACCCCTGAAAAACAACCCCACACCTTAATCCTCCGTCCACCAAACTTTACACTTGGCATAATGCAGTCAGGCAAGTACCATTCTCCTAGCAACCATCACACCAAGACACGTCCATCAGATTGCCAAACAGAAAAGCGTGATTCGTCACGCCAGAGAACATGTCTCCACTGCTCCAGAGTCCAGTGGCGGCATGCTTTACACCACTGCATCCAACACTTTGCATTGCACTTGGTGATGTAAGGCTTGGTTGCAGCTGCTCAGCCATGGAAACCCATTCTATGAAGCTCTCTACTCACTGTTGTTGTTCTGATCTGAAGGTTACATGAAGTTTGGAGGTCTTAGCTATTGATTCTGCAGACAGTTGGTGACTTCTGCGCACTGTGCGCTTCAGCATGCGCTGACCCTGCTCTGTCATTTTACGTGGTCTACCACTTCATGGCTGAGTTGCTGTTGATCCCAGTTGCTTCCACTTTGTTATAATACCACTAACAGATGACTGTGGAATATTTAGTAGCAAGGACATTTCACGGATGGACATATTGCACAGGTGGCAACCTATCATGGTACCACGCTTGAATTCACTGAGCTCCTGAGAGCGACCCATTCTTTCACAAATGTTTGTAGAAGCGGCCTGCATGCCTAGTTGCTTGATTGTATACACCTGTGGCCATGGAGGTGATTGGATCTGATGATTTGGAGGGGTGTCTCAATACTTTTGGCAATATAGTGTATTGTGTATATATATATATATATATATATATATATATATAGAGCTCAGTAGCGGGTTGTGCTTGACCCCCTGGATGAGTCAGAGCACGGTGAAAGAGGCACGGCACGACAGCAGGATCTTGGGGAAACAAGTTGTGCTTTATTTACAAGGGTGGTGATCACACAGTGCATATATCCAAAACAACAAAAAAACACAAAGATAAAACAAAACCTTGCCATGTTGGGCATTTAACTGCAAACACAGGATCCTATATACTTGTCTGGATACAGCCTACCACTGCTCAGACACATGGCGTTCACACAGAGTATCTCAAAGTCCATAGTCACACAGACTTAATCTCACCACAGTATTGTTTGGTTGCTCCCCAGTCTGTCTTGCACAGAAATCTGGTTCCAGGTTGGAGCATTCTCCCTAAGCGGCGTGGGGGTTTTATAGAGCCCAGAGCCCTTAACCTGCTACAGCAGAGCTCATTAACCCATCAGTGAGCCAAACAGGCTCACTACACTACACAAAAGGAAAAAAGAGTAGTGTGTACAGCATGAATCTGGGACAAATATACCTCCCATGCTGGACACATCCCCTAGTTCTTCCTGGCTTCCTGTCACAATAGGGAATTGCAGTCTTGGCCCTATGTTTCATCTGTCCCCCACCAGCTGTAAGACCAAGAACTGAGCAATCAAACACTGCTGAAAGCTCAGTTCTTGATCTTCAGGCTTCACAGAGCTGGTGACTTTCAGTCACTGTCTCCTTGCTCTACCCCTCCAGCGCTCACTAGAGTGCCGGGCAGTGGTGGGGACGGGTGCAGCTGGCTAAGTCTCTCAGCAGCTTGCTGGGCCAGGCATTGGTTGGGATCTTTTCAGTGCCTGGACCTACTCTGTGATGTCAGCCAACAGTCAGCTGTGATGTCAGCCAACAGTGGGCTTTGTCCATAGGGAGGTGCAGCTTTGGCTATACTTTTCCTTTAAGTAACTGTGGCTAAAGCCTATCCAAGAGCAAAAGTACAAGGACAAAAATAATATATTTAACCCCTTCCTACCCACCCTGGCATACCTTTAAGAGGTTCTGAATGCCCCGGGGTGGGAAGGATCGGCTATTATGTGACTACTGTGATTGGCTGTCACAGTGGTCACAAGATCAGGAGCTAATCCCACTTATTATCGATTGTTAGTGGAACCAAAAGCTGTGTTTGACAGCTTGGTCTCTGTGCTGGGAGTGCACTCTAAGCACAGAAGCATTGATCACCCAGCAGCGCATATGTGTGTGTGGTATGTTGGCATTATAGCTAACCCTTTTGCAGCCACACTTTCGTGTTACACGGACAGCAACTGGTTAAGCAAGTAATGGTTAGGTTGTGAAGATGGGGGTTCCAACTTCATTTCTGCTACTGCACTAGGGGATAGTGCCTACACACTTGTATCCAACTTATGAACTAGATTTAATGATCTCTATATATATTTGACATACTAAAGAACCCCCCCCCAAGCCTTCTGTAAACTGTACTGTTGTAGGTGTCTTAATTATCATGAAAATGTTATTATAAAGGAGTATTTATTTTTATGATTGATGGAAGCTAACCGTGCCTTTTTACGTACAAAATGTGTCCCTGTTTCACATCTAGGATCGCTGAAGAGCTGCTATATCACCATTGCTGTCGATCCAATGTACCTGAGTGTAGTGTGTGGCAGAATGTGGAGTGAGTCACTGATGTAGCTCAGAGAGAATTATTTCTTGCAGCAATTTATCTTTCTTTTATTTATACTTGGCTTAGAACACACAGCCTGCGGTTGAATCTTTCTGTTAATTGAATGGAAAGAAATTACTTAACATGACATTTCAATTCAAGATGAGCACTGTTTCCTAAAAGAGATAAAGATTTTTAATGGAAAAAAAAAAGAACAATGACCAGATTAGTAATTCCACCTTTCCACATTTTAAGGTTTAGAAGATGATTTTAGGTTGATCTTGCAAAATTCAGTAAGGCATTTCTGACACAACTAATTGGCTTTTTACATTGGCATGATTTTGAAAACTTACTAGATACCATCACACCTCTTCTGACACATCTAAAAAGGAGATCGCTTTGTCGTATTGAGTGTTACCAATGTTCTTCTCCAGGCTGCTTGTTACCATGGATTCTCACACATTCATGATTTCCTAAGGGAAAACAAATTAAAATTTTGAACTTTGGCTATACGAGATGATCTGACGAGTGCTCATTGAGAGTTATCATTGGTAAAGTGATAACTTTGGAAGTGATAAGATTAATAACAGTGGCAGACACAGACTTTAATGGACTTCTGTGGTATAGATGATTTTATAGTCTCCAAGCCCAGCACTGTAAGTCCATCTACTCTTCCCCAAGTGACACCAGGTTGATGATTATATTCCCCTGGTGTCAATGCCTACATTCACCTGTAATGCAGGCCATAGATGATGCGATTTTCTTTCCTGGAACCCGTTGGTGAAATCCTTCCCGCAAAGCTATTGTGGTCTCTCAGTGGGGGGAGTTCTGGCACAAGGAGCAGTGATTATTTCTAGCAGCTATAGCCACTGACAATAGTTGCATGTAAAAATCTGACATGCTGGTTGTACCCAAGTCAGTCAATGGATTGACTTGGGCACAATCAGCCTGCCCATAGATGGTTAGAATCTCGGCGGGTCCCTGCTGAACCAGCCAAGATTCAAACTAACTGTGGCTGGCTTAAGTAAATAACCTCAAAGTTCTTCATTGGCTCAGCAAACAACCAAGTACTCCCTGCAACCTTTGTAGTGAGTTTTTTTGTACTACAAATGTGAAAGTGAGTCACTTTCAATAATGGCAGGAATTGATTTGATTAATTGGTTTCCCTGAACAATCAATGCTCCTTGTGCTGTTTTCTCCATTAATGATATACTGGGTTTGGCCCGTACTCTCCTAATGGTGCTCCTATCCCAGTGCACCATCCAGTCCTTTGGGTCTTCTGTAAAGAATGGGAAAAAATAGCAGCTCTATGAAGCATACCATCCAAACTGCCTATATTTGAGTGCATAAAGATGCCATCCCTCATCTCTGAGCCTATGACGTAATAGTATGTATGATACAGCACCAATGATTGCTCAGGATAGTTTTAGGGAACAAGCAATGCTAGACTGCAATCTGAAACTTTTTTTATTAGCACAGCTATTTGAAGATGGACAGTAGAAAATAAATGCAGTACACAAATACTCTGACACCCTGGCCCTTTTGGAAGTTGTTATGCCTGCTATTCATTTTTCTCAAATTTTATAAGTCTAGTGATTCCTAGCCAGCAACCCATCAGTAGATGGGGCTTTAGTTTTCTTATATGGTACAGTGTAGCCTTTTATTTTAGGCTTGATTAGATACATGGAGCCCTTTTTCTCATACCAAAATTCATAACAAATACTAGATAGATAGTGGGGAGGAGCCAGGAGCACCAGTGGGGGACCGGAAAATAGGGGGATCAGGACTGCACTGAGCGATTGCACTGAGTGGGTAAGTATAACATTTTTGTTATTTTTTTCTAAAAATCAACCTTTAATATCACTTTAAATATGTCAACACCAGTATCAGTAGGATTTTCAGGCTTCTGGTCCAAACTGCAGGAAATATTCATGATTTTGTGTTCTGCTGCAGCATAGGGGTATCTTTTTACATTGCCCCGGGCTTAAATTCAGGGCCATCCAGAAATAAAGGATGCCAGAAACTACATTTAGAGAGTGGGGTATCAAGCTGCTAGATGAAAAATAGAAATACTTATTATCCTGTGTTCCATTTGAATTCATATACAAAATTATTGACAATGCCTTTAGGCCCCACGTACACAGTGCCTTTTCCCAGCTCTTCTATGCACCTTTCACTCTGGCAGCAGGGTTTTGGCATAAAAAATGTTTGACGCGTGTAAACGTGTCCAGACTTGTTTAGGCACATCAGGCATTGGTCGTTATTTCATTTCATTGCCAGAATAATAGTTAACGTTGAGGCGCCTGATGCACCTAGAATTAACGCACATCCTACTATATATTACACAAATATATATTGACCGACAACCAAATTTTGGTTGAATCAGTCCAGCACTGACATGCATACACATTTGAAATTGAAACTGCCTGTGCTGACCTAATTTGAAAATACCAGCTGCCTGGCTGCCTCTGGCTTCAGTA